AAAATTACCTTTTCAAGAGAATTTATTGTTATTATTTTCCTTTATGAATATACTTCCTTTTAAATATTCTTTGCTTTGTTTGTGAAGTGTTAAAAATAACAACAAAAATCCAGATTTTTAATTTTTAAAACTAATTTTCATATAAAATTTTGATATTTTAAATCTAAAATGAGAAAATATAGGATTATCAAATATATTAAAAAGAACAGGAAACAAGAAAATAATTAACAAAAATATAAATAGTTCTGAGCAATAGTTGAATACAAATGGCTTCATATCTCCTCCAGTGGTTAACATTATTATAAAGTAAAATTTCAAAAGAGGGGTGCGGTGTAACAAAACATCAACAAGACTAGTGCATACTTCTTCCGTTTAATATTTGACACGTTCTTAATTCTATGTCAAACAATGAACCGAAGTCGAAAATTTTCCCTTAACCCGGGTTTTGTCCCTGGCACAAACTTCAGATCGACTTTTGCCCATTTCTGTTACTTGATGAATGATCGAGTGTAAATACCTTTTTCACATCTGAAGCACACTGTACAGCAGAGTTGATTACATTATCAGTCCCCAATTACGCCAAAACGAGATGTGGCCACGTGATTCTCACTTTTTATTCAGCCAACTTCAAGAACTTCGCTACAAAAAGCCCACTTGTCTGTGATGCCCATGGATCAAAACGTAGGGTCTTTGGTATTCGTCCACTCTTGCACGGCCAATTTCTGGCCGCTTCTATCTCCTGCAACTCTGTTAAGGATCAGAAAGAGAATAATGGTCAGTCTTAATGCCTCTTTGGAATCAATTTTCAAGGAATTTTTAGAACTTGGATAGTATAGAAAACGTAGAAAACCTTACCTGCGGAAGCATTATCCTTGAGAAACTGTTCCACAACATCCTCATTCTGTGCTACTGTAAGACTAATCAAGATAAAGGATAGCGCTTAAATTATTTGGCACGCATGGGCATGTGTGTGTGTGTGTGTTGTCTTTTTTAAATTGTTTTTGTGTAGTTGGAGTTTCAAAGCCTAAAAAAGTGTAACCAAAAGAAAGAACCTGCAAGTGCTGTAGACAAGTATCCCCCCAGACTTTAGCAACCGAAAACCATTGGTAAGGAGTCTCAACTGCAACAGAAAATAGACCAACATAACATTCAAGATATTTTTACAGTTGAGAATTCTTTTTATAGAAAAAAATGACATTCTGAAGTTCCGAGTGCAAGAGGGAAATTTGAATTGTTTCTAAAGTTCTGTTTTTTGAAGTTCTAGATTTAATAAGACCGAAGTATCATCAACTACTTGCCACTAATAAGACCATGTAATAATCTTTTATCCATCTACAGCCATTTTCATTTCTAATGCATGGACATCTAGCTTTAACCCCTATGTCATTTCAAGATTGAGTAAAAGGTTAGGAACATTCTAAAGAACATGCAGAAAAATACATTTTCTTATAAAAAGAAATTACAACAGTTTACGCGAATAATCTGATTAATTTTGAGTACCTGAAGTACAGTCAAATTATCTGTTCTCTCAGCGTCCAATACTCTGCGCTGAAGAGATGTCCAACCCCAACTTTCAAATTTCTGTATATGCTTTATAGAGCCATCATGAGTGCATTCGGCATCCACTAGGACCTAAATAAATGTCAAACATCATCAATCCAGAAATTCACTGAGCAATACCTAAAGCACAAGAATGACAGTTCTTCAAGAAAAGAGAGGAGAAATGGGGAGGCAGGCAATAAACAGAAAGCAGCTCACCCTATCATACCCATAGCTCAATAACTCACTTTCCGAAGGACTTCGATATATCTCACTCTTAGTGAACCCAACCACGCCAGATTTCAGCCCATAAAAGATAAGTTCTGGTTCCTGACACCTCTGGACTAACTCTGCAGCAGCGTTTTGTTTTGCTATGGCCGCTTTCTTCCTTTCCTTCCAAGATTTTCTGGACGTCCACTCCTTCAATCTGTCAACACTATCTTCTAATGTAGATTCATCTATATGAGACTAAACAGATCATAACTAATTAAAGAAACAGAAAGACGACTAGATGAGCAAATAAAATCAACAGCTTAGTTGCTCGTTGCAATTTAATAATAATGATAAAGGTATTTAGATCAACAAATGGTTACCTGATCTAGACTCTGAAGTAACATTCACGGGAATGAGAGAAAATGTTGCTCCATTAGCAACAAAAAGTCGACAAATATCACCAAGAGCATATTTTTGCAGCATTGTTCTACAAGCAGCTAAACGATGCTGAGATACATCTACTCCAGTCACAGAACCCAAACCATCAAGAAGGTCTACGATCATGCAAAGTTTGGCTCCTGAATATAATGTCATGTGTTAGAACTAGGTGACTGACTGATTGGTTGTTCAAAGATCTGATATATGATAAGCTGCACCATATTATTGTTCACTACAAAAGCATGTTACATCAAATAAACGTCTAACACTGTGATAAAAAGACATATCAACTATATTCATTCAGGTAATTAGAACCAATAAACCAACTTGATTCACTCTATTCCAACTCCTGAGAGTTAAGACGTCCACTTCAACCATATTTTCCAGAATTAAACTGTTTTTTATCGCCAAAAAAATATTTATATGAATGGCCAGAAATTCTTTTCCCTTATCTTTATTTATTTTTAAAATTTGAAGCTTCTAGACTATGCATCTCTTGACGCCTTCCAAGCTCGACACGATTCCAAAATTCAACAGAGTCTAAACTGAGTAAATGAAGGTCTCGTGTTTTAGCCTAAACTTTTTGCTGATTGAGAGGATCAAATGTTCTAGCCTAAAACTTTTACATCATTGAGGCTCATGCTCGTCATTAATCCAACTTGAAACTATGACACTCATACGTTGCATAGAAGTCTCAAGATTGTTTATTTCATTTGAACGTGATTAAATTTACCGCAGGTATGTAGAGTTAAAACCGGTCATGACAGTTCTCAACATGGAGGGAAAGAGAAAGCTTTACCTTATATCCAGATCCATCCTAAAAACATTAAATTCTTGGTGACTTAACACTTTACATTATTGTCATTATCCTCCTTAGAAAAATCTAACAATGACGTTGGCAGAAATTTGAAAGTTTTACTTCACTTTGATTCAGATATTGAATATACTCGCGTATATAACTTGTATGGAAAAAGCCAGAAAGGAGCATTACCTGGAGCGGCACAAAGATCAAGGACATGATTTCCCGGTGAAACGTCCAAGGCAGTAACAGCAGCACCGGAAGCTGCATCTATTCCATATATCTGCATGAATAAACAAATGGTAAATAGGAAGAAATATCAAATGTAGAGTACAAATTGAACATTCAGAATTCAATAGACAACATAACCAAATTACACATATGTTAAGCTGCAATATTAATTCCTATAGTTAGTTGCTCATCCGTTCCTATGTACAGAATTTCAAAAACAAATTCAAGAAGGAAGACTGCTATAAGCAATGATTTCCGCCATGTTGCATAGGGCTGTTCGTAAACATGAAATTACAACTAAAAATTTCACACAGTCACGAATCACTAAGGACGGATATCCAATTCCCAAAACTAATGCGGAAGTTCTCACCTTTCCTGTCTTGTAAGCTTGGGAACCAGCAATTTGCACATCGGGCGGAAGAGAATAGAATCCAGGCAGCCAACTGACTTTCTCAAGCTTGCACTTGATCTCGGCCTCTATCTCCTCCACATCGGCTTCATAGCCAGGCTTCAACCTTGCCATTGAGACAACTTAAACAAAATGGATAACCAGAAACATAAACCACCAATTCGAATTATATGAGCATCGAAGTACCTGACATAACGAGGGGTTGAATCAGTAGCAGCGTAAATGGAAGGGTCCAGATCATTTTCCTTCAGAAAATCAAGAAACGCCGCAGGCAACGGCGAAGTAGAAGTTTCCTCCATAGATTCGGCCTATAAGCCAAAGCCGAAATCAAAGGAAGAAAGAAAGTGCGGAGGATTTGAATCCTTGAAGTAGGGTTTAGAATGGTCGCGGCGATTCGTAGAACTGGTAGTGTGTGTTTTGAAACCGCGGTTATGGGCGCGATTTTTTTGCTACTTTTTCGTCCCGGGAAAACCCGCCCCGTTTTTTTTTTTTTTTTTGGTCGTGAATCATCTCATCTTCCATAAAGATGTGAAAATATTTCTTTAATAGGTGTATTTTAAATAATAACAAAAAAACGTAACTAGTCAAAGCATATAATATATACTACCAGTGGCATTGGGACTGTTACAGATGATAATCAAAGCCAAAGAACCAAGTAGTGTGTCCGTGAGGACGTTGTGCCTCTAAATAAGGTGGATTGTGATATCCCACATCAAATAAAAAAGAAAACACCGAGCGGTGTGTCAATGAGAACGTTGGGCCCCAAAGAGGTGGATTATGAGATCCCACATCAACTAGATAATAGAACATTAAATGGTATACTAGTGAGAACGCTAGACTCCTAAAAGGGTGAATTGTGAAATCTCACGTGGGAGAGAACAATATAAAGCATTTCCTGTGTGGGTATGGAAACATCTCTAATATACGGTCACGAGTGAAAGGAAATTTGTTAAATTTATAAGGGAAAGAGTAGAATAGCAAACTAAATTTAATATTTATTCGTTTAATTTCATACTTGGCAAAATTAAGTTATCTTCACACGTAATCCTTCAATCAAACTAACTAATTAATTAATCGCTTTCATGGCCACGTAAGCAAAACACATGATCAAAAGCGGATAAATTAGCTGATTACGTTAATCCAAAAAATTAAATTATCAACAAATTAAAAAAAACAAATCCCGCCACGTCATTTTCCATTACCAACGCAACGGCCCAATGCCATGCTTTTTCCATTGAGGAAGTGGAGTCACCTCCTTATTTCATTACTTCTCCAGCGGATGTGGCATAAAACGACATGTCGTCTCAATGGATTGAATCTGATTCAATTTCCGGCTTCAATTCAATCCCCTTATTTCATTATAAACAGAAACTTCCATACCGCTCATTCGCAGTCAAATTTCGCCGGCAGTTTCCGCCGCCGTTGTTATTCCGCCCACTTTTCCGCGACGGTTTCTGGTTTTCCAGACTTCAAAAACCGCCCACAGATCTCGAACCACCGGAATCGCACCGCTAATCATGGGCTCCCTCGATAGGTCTCTCGTCTCTTTTATTTGATTTATACATCCTTCCTTTTTTTTTCTCTCTCATTATAATTCTCCAATGACGGCTAATTCCTTTCTCCTTCTTCCATTTGGATTCCTGCTCTGTTTTCTCGTCTCCGGCAGCTTCGAAGCCGGAATCGTCACCGTCGACGTCAAAACCGCCAAGAACCTCCTCCATTCCGGCTACGCTTTTCTCGACGTCAGGTTGAATTTGCTCGTTTTTTGCGTCAATTTTTTTCCGCATTTTAGTTGATTTTGTTAAAATTATCGGTAGGACTGTCGAGGAGTTCAAGGAAGGGCACGTAGCGAATGAGAAGATCGTCAATATTCCGTATCAATTCAATTCTCCAGACGGTTAGTTGTTTTTATAATCGCTTCGATATCCTTTTGTTCTTCCGTTTGAATTTTCCGGTGAAGTGACTGAACGCGGCGGCGATGGACTTTTCAGGTAGGGTGAAGAATGATCAGTTTCTGGAGGAGGTGTCGGCGGTCTTTAAGAAAGACGACCGCCTCGTCGTGGTAATTTCCCTTTTTATCCTTTTATTCACTAAATATTTATTAAATTATTACGTATTTATTATATAAACGTTCAATTTAGCTAATTTAGCTTTAGGAACTATTAAATTATTATATGTAAAATTAAAATCAACTTAAACCTTTTATATTATAAAATAAAAAAGTGTCCAAAATATAATATTATTTTATTTTAAGTGTTTTGAATTTTAAAAATATCTAATAAGTTATTTAATTTTAAATTTCAATTATTAAAAAAAAAACCCTTTAACTTTTATGGATAAATTTTTAAAAGATTAGATATAAAATAAATAATTTAATAACTTATCTAAATACAGAATTTAAAATTTAGAATGATAATCTGTTAAACTTAAATTATTTCAAATAATATATTTTGTTGGTAAAAATAAATTATGAAAATATACCAAAGAGATTTTATAAATAATTGACATAATTAAATTTTATGCATTATCGTCGAGTATTTTATATGATTCAGACTACGATTTTTTTCAAATAGGGTTGTCGAAGTGGGGTAAGATCTTTGCTCGCCATTGAAGACCTCCGAAATGATGTAAGTTATATTTTGTTTTTTTCTTTTAATTATTATGGGTTTCGTCCAATTTTAACATTTAAATGTTTAAATAAATCGAGGTAAATTCATTTAAAATTTCAAAAGAAAATGGAAATCAATTGATTTAATAATTAAAGTAAATTAATTACTATTAATTATTTAATTCTTAATCATGCACAGAATAAATTTTAAAATTCCAATGGATTAAATTATAATTCTTTATAGGGGAAAAAATAAAATAATATTAAAAAAATCTGCAGGGCTTCGAGCATTTGACAGATCTGGGCGGAGGGCATCTGGCTTGGCTGGCGTATGGATTTCCTGTGGCTAAGCCAAAAGTAAAGACAACTGATCCAAAGAGTGTGGACCTTCAGGCTGACGAGCTTTGATCGTACAATAAATAAATAAATAAAAATAAATAAAACGCAGCAATAATTTGTCTTCTGGTTGTAAAGTTTATTATTGAATAATTTTATTTTATCTGATAAGTTTTAAAATAATAATATGTTTAAATCAGTTGATTTAGATGCCAATAACCTTTTTTTCATCTTTATTTATTTATTGACTATAACAAATAAGAATCTATTCTCTTATATTAATTTATATTAAATATTCTCGTTATGAGCTCATTTATCACGTGGCACTGTACATATTGTAAATCATTCGAGCCAATTTTCTAAGTAACTAATGTATGTTGGTTGAAAATGAGCCTTATGTTACTTCCATAGTACCAAAAAATCATAAGTTTATTAGTTCAATCAAGCGAGGGGATACATAAATTGATGCGTTGTCGCTCTTGTATTTTGGTCGCTAAAAAAGTAACATGTTGGACAAGATCGAGTACTGCATTTAAGTATCGAGCTCTTGGTTGATCTATTCTACTATTCCAGCTATTATGTGCTGCAACATGGGTGTAGAAGCTCGATATTTCATGTTCCAGCTATTCTGTGCTGCAACATGAGTGTAGAAGCTCGACATTTCATGTTCGCATCAAGCATATTGAAACCGAAAATATTTAAAATTTCTCTAACTATTTAAAATATTAATTAAAAGATTAATAGTAAATAAAATACAAATTAACATTGTTGGAAGAGTTGAATTCCAAGTAGTCAAACGAGAGTGATAACCTTGAATCTAATTCAGATTCCAGCTTCAAATTCAATCACCTTATAAAAGAATTCCAATCAGCACACCCACCAATCAAAATCTCCAGCCGTTTCCGCCGCCGTTGTTCTTCCGCCGACTTTTCTCCGACCGTCTCTGTTTTTTCCGACATCAAAAACCGCCCACGATTTCATCATGAGCTCCCTCGACAGGTCTCTCGTCTCTCTGTATTTCATTTATACGCCCTTTCCTCTATCTCTTCTCCTCGCAGCCTTTCATTTAGATTATCCTTCTTCCGTTTGAATTTCTGCTCTGTTTTTTTGTTGGCAGTTCTGTTAAGAATGAGAAATAGAAATAGAATTGGGATCGAAAGTATGATCTTCATTCAGGTTTACAACGTTTAAATAGGATACAAACTATCAACTAATACCTAAAAATAGAAAAAATATATATCTAACTAAATTTGGTAAATAAATAAAATATACGGTTAATAAAATCTATACTAACAACTCCCTAAATATCTGATATATATTCTAACTAATTATCACGGCAAAATATCCTCTTAATACTCCCCCTCAAGTTGGAGAGTGTATGTCGATCACACCCAACTTGTCCTTCAAAAAGTCAAATTGCTGTCTTCCCAAAGCTTTAGTAAAAACATCTGCCAATTGCATTTTGGTCGAAACATAACACGGTTTGATGATTCCAGCTTGTAACTTTTCTCGAACTATATGACAATCTATTTCAATGTGTTTCGTACGTTCATGAAAAACTGGATTGGCTGCTATATGTAATGCTGCTTGATTATCACAATATAATAATGCTGGTTCGGACAGTGGAACATTCAAGTCTTGAAGAATGTATCTTAACCAAGTTAACTCTAAACAAGTATTTGCCATAGCTCGATACTCGGCTTCTGCTGATGATCTGGACACATTAGTTTGCTTTTTAGACTTCCAAGAAATAATTGAATTTCCGAGGAAAATGCAGAACCCAGAAATAGATCGTCTGGAAGTTCGACAACCACCCCAGTCAGAATCGCAATATGCCTGTAATCTTAAATTGTTTTCAGATGGCAGTAGAAGTCCTTGACCAGGAGTGCCTTTGATGTACCTCAGAACTCGAAGAGCTGCCTCCCAATGTGGTTTTCTTGGTTCATGCATAAATTGGCTAAGCATACGAACTGAATAAGCTATGTCAGGCCTAGTGACGGTCAAATATATTAATCTGCCAATCAACCGTCTGTATTTACTTGGATCATTCAACTTCTCTCCTTCAGTTAAAGAAAGTTTCAGATTTTGCTCCATAGGAAATTTGTCTGGACGTGCTCCTGTAAGACCTGTGTCTTGAAGGATGTCTAGAGCATACTTCCTTTGAGACATAAAAATTCCTTTTCTAGATCGAGAAAATTCAATGCCTAGAAAATATTTCAAATTTCCTAAATCTTTGATAAGAAATTTCTGGAGTAAACTAGTCTTGAGATATTGAATTTCTTCGAGATCATTGCCTGTCAACAGAATATCATCAACATAGATTAGAACTGCAGTGAAAGAAGTACCTTTACTCTTAGTAAACAAAGAGTAATCTGCTTTGGACTGAGTGTAGCCTGCATTTTGTATAGTTGTAGAAAATATGGAGAACCAATTGCGAGAAGCCTGTTTTAATCCATAAAGAGATTTATGGAGCCGACATACTGTATTCTCCCCCTGTCGGCGAAGACCTGGTGGTAAAGACATATAAACTTCCTCGTCTAGATTACCATGGAGAAAGGCATTTTGAACATCCAACTGATGGGTGAACCATTTTCGAGCAGCAGCAACAGTGAGTAAGCAACGAAGTGTAGTAAGTTTCGCTGTAGGGGAAAATGTTTCTGTGTAATCAATACCTTCAACCTGAGTGTATCCCTTTGCTACTAGTCGAGCTTTATAACGTTCAACAGAACCATCAGAGTTGTATTTAATTTTGTACACCCAACGACAACCAATAGCTTTATGACCAAGTGGTAGAGGAACGAGAGACCATGTATGATTACGTTCCAAAGCTGCAATTTCATCATTCATAGCCTGCTGCCATAACGGGTCGCCAACTGCCTCGTCATAGGTTTTAGGTTCTGTCTGGGATGTAATAAGAGCTAGAAAAGCACGTTGAGTAGGAGAAAAACGAGAGAATGAAAGGTAATGATGAAGGGGATACCTGGTGCCAGTGCCGGGACTTGAGCTAGAGGTTAAATGATTGGCTCCAGAAGACATCTCATAATCCTTATGCCAAGCTGGAGGCTGTTTAGTACGAGTAGAACGTCGAAGTGGAGCTGATGTATCAGGTGGGATAGGATTGGAATTAGTGGGCGAATCTGGAGAAGGTGGAGGAGACGACGGAGTAGTAGGTGAAGGGATAGGAGGTGAAGGAGGAGTAGGAGGTGAAGGAATAGGAGGTGAAGGAGGAGTAGGAGGTGAAGGAATAGAAGGTGGAGGATGGATGTTTGAGTAGGATGGATCATGAAGTGGTACAACAGGAGTCGAAGGAGCTAATGTCGAAGTTTGTGAAGCTGATGAAAAAGGAAAATCATCTTCACAAAATTTGACATCACGGCTGATAAAGAATTTGTGAGATTGCATGTCATACAACTTGTAACCTTTATGACCACAAGGATATCCTACGAAAACACAAGGAGTTGCCCTAGGTTCAAATTTTTGCTTAGGATGTACTATAGTTGCATAACATTTACAACCAAAAACTTTAAGATGATGAAATGTAGGTGGTCGTTTGTAGAGTGCTTCAAAGGGTGTCTTGTTAGATAATAATGGTGATGGCGTTCTATTTATAAGATAAACAGCCGTTAAAATGCACTCTCCCCAAAAATTAAGTGGAACCTGTGACTGAAAAAGAAGAGACCTAGCTACATTTAGGATATGGCGATGCTTGCGTTCTACGACTCCATTTTGTTGTGGAGTATAGACACAAGTGCGCTGAAATTCAATACCACAAGAAGTAAAGAATGGTTGCAAAGATAGGAATTCAGTCCCATTGTCTGATCGAACTATCTTGATAGTAGTATGAAATTGAGTTTGAACGAATTTAACAAAGTTCATTAACAAATGATGTACTTCTGACTTATGTTGCATTAAAAAAACCCAAGTACATCGAGTAAAATCATCAACAATAGTGAGAAAAAAACGCAAACCAGAATGGGTAGGAATTTTATGTGGTCCCCAAACATCACAATGTATCAGATCAAAAGCAGAATGGGTTGTTATTGAACTTCTTGGGAAAGACAACCTAGTTTGTTTTGCTAACGGGCAGATACTACAATTATGAGAATAACTCGCATTATTAAGATGCAATTGATCAGCTAGAAATTTAAAACGAGAAAAGGAAGGATGACCTAGGCGTAAATGCCACAAATTAGATGACTGAGATACTTGATGAGCTGAAGATTTGATTGGAGATGAAGAAATATGATAGAGACCTCCAAATTGTTTACCCGAGCCAATCATCTTCCCCGTAGCCAAGTCCTGCATAACACAAGAATCAGGATAGAAGGTGACATAACATTTCAAGTTATTGGTAAGTTTGCTGATCGACATTAGGTTTAAATTGAATGAAGGCACACATAAAACGTTGTTTAATTGAAGGTTAGGGCTAAGGGAAATATTGCCAGTATGTGACACACGTGCTGTCTCTCCATTAGGCAAATTTATTGCAGACATGATGGCAGCCTTTGGTTCAGTCATAACAGAAGATTTTGATACTATATGATCCGTAGCTCCACTATCGAGAATCCATGAATTAGAACTCGCAGAGTTAATAGATAATGTAGATATGGGAAACAAACCTGCAACATTGACGTGATTGTCAGAATTACCAGAAGGGTGATGATTGATTGCAGATAAGGCTTGTGCTATCTCTCGTAATTGCTCAGAAGAAAAATTTGGAATGGAATTAGGTGACTGTTCTTCTGTATTCAACTGTGAAACATCGGCCATATTTGCAGATGATCGATATCCACGGTTATTGTGTTGATTGTCTTGTCTTGTCCTTCCAGAATTATTTTTCTGTCGACACCGATCTTCTGTATGGCCCCTTCTATCACAAAAGTTACAGTGAAACTTAAGAATTCGACACTCATTGATTGTATGACCACTTTTATTGCAGTGTTCACACTTTTTGTCCTTGGCGAATTTTGAATATATTGTTTTCTTTTGCACTGCTGATGCAATCGAGAAATTCTCAGTAGGTTCGGAAGTTACCTGACGCTGCATCTCTTCTTGTACAAGTAATGAATAGGCTTGCCTCACATTAGGTAATGGAGACATCATCAATATGTTAGATCTCACCGTTTTATAAGACTGATTAAGCCCCATGAGCAATTGCATCAA